TTAAAAAGGAGCATTTGTAGTTCTGTGGTCAGTCACCAAGATGACATTTGATAAACATTTATTGAGCCCTTTTAGTAAAGTATAGTCTAATATATTTATTGAATTTTAATTATAAATGTTACTTGTGCAATTTTTTTCACCACAACTCTGTAAGGACCATTTTTATTAGTAGACCAATTGTAAACTTCGGTCATCTTTTTTTAAAAATAAAAATAGTACAGATAATTTTTCTCCATCCACTGATGATTCACAGCTGATCATATACACACATGTATACATGAGAACTAAACATAATTTTGGGTGTACTATATATTTTTTTGTTTTGTTGCAGATTTATCTTCATAATTATATTTTATAGGTTTGTTTTAAATTATTTTGATATTATAAAAAAGATACAAAATATTATAAAAAGAGTACAAAAAAGAATAATGTGAAAAGTAAAATTTCTTTCCACTTCAAAATCCTACCCATTTTTCCCTCAGTGTCTCTCTGCAGACTAAACCAATTTTGACAAACCTTTTTAAGTCTTTTAGAGTTGTGAATTTTCAAAACTGGAAAGGAATTTCAAGAAGATTTTTGTTTATTCTTTCTTATTTTTATGGATGAGAAATTAAAAACTTAGAGAGGTGGAGTGACTAGCCCAAATTACACAGTTAGCTTAAGGGCCAAATATAGAAATTATGTCATATGAAAGGCAAATTCAGGTTTTTTTCTCATTTCATCACTTGTTTTCAATCATGACTACATCTTAGTGGTGGTTACACTTTTAAAAATATCAGGCTTTTCCCCACTTGTGTCTCCCAACTATTAGTTGACACCTTTAAAGGTGAGTCTCGAGCATTTGTATTTTTAAAAATGCTCTCAGGTATTTTTTTTTTTTTTTTTTTGAGACAGAGTCTCGCTTTGTTGCCCAGGCTAGAGTGAGTGCCGTGGCGTCCTAGCTCACAGCAACCTCAAACTCCTGGGCTCGAGTGATCCTTCTGCCTCAGCCTCCCGGGTAGCTGGGACTACAGGCATGCGCCACCATGCCCGGCTAATTTTTTATATATATATCAGTTGGCCAATTAATTTCTTTCTATTTATAGTAGAGACGGGTCTCGCTCTTGCTCAGGCTGGTTTTGAACTCCTGACCTTGAGCAATCCGCCCGCCTCGGCCTCCCAAGAGCTAGGATTACAGGCGTGAGCCACAGCACCCGGCCTCTCAGGTATTTTTGATTAGAGTAAAAGTTGAGAACTCCAGCACTACCTCATGCTTGTAAATTTGCTAACAATAGAAAGTAATATTCATACCAAAGATATTTGTATTTTTATAAAGGTTACACACTGATGTAATGTTAAGAATGGATTAGGGATTTCAAGTCAGGTGAAAGGTTGAATTGGGGAAATGGTTTTTGGCCTTTTCCTTTGTCAATGGATGCACATAGCACCATGCAACCATTTGGAACCTTTGTTAAAATTATGTGGAGAAAAGGAAACTTCCTCCAAATATTTTTCTACCATTGGCCTTCTACCATTGCCATGATCAATATACAAATCTACAATCACTACAGTGTGAAGGGCACCCTCGAGAGTTATGCACTATATTGATATCGATGAATATCCATGGGCTATCTCTGTTTATAGTGGTTTGGAAACCACTGTAAAGATAAAGTAATTTTTAAGCACTTTTCTGACCAAAGAGGGTAGACAAAATAGAGGGTAGACATTGTGAGAGGGCAGTGCTCATTGTCATCTACCCCTGGCTTTTTAAAACCTAATAAGTTAGGCCACACTTACCAATTTTACCTTCACCCCTCTTTAAACAATCACTTTTATTAACTTGAGCTGCAGCAGAGACTCCAGACATACTCAGAGAGAAATCCAGATGATACCCAAGGCATCTCTTTATATCTCTTAGTTCCACACCTGTTTAATGTATTTATTTGAAAATTGTTAGATAATGTCTATCACACCACAAATAAATGACAATTTTGCTATTTTGTAAGAAACATACTTAGGTTCTTAGACATCATTACCGAATTCAAATACAAGGTCATGTTTATTCTGTTTTGTCCTCGTATTAGAATCTAGTGGACTCTTTTTGACCTTGCTTGTCAACTTAATGGCAAAGGCACATTAATTTACCACTTTGTTAAAAGGAATATAGGTCAGACTGGTGATTATAGTAAAGTCCTTTATCTCTACTACCATAGAAGGGGGGCAGTAATGTTTAACATGTATTGACTACTTATTACATACTTTGCATTATTCTAAGCATATTGTATTCATTAACTAATTTAATTCTCACATTGGCCTTATGAAGTAAGTACTGTTATTGTTCTCATTTGACAAATGAGCATATGGAATCATAAAGCAGTTAAGTAACCTACTGATGGCTAATTACTCAGGCAGTAGTGAGCCAGGTTTGGATTTGACTCCTGAGCTTTCTGGCTATTAAACACTTCTCTATATGAACTTCATAATTTGGTCATGACATGCATCATCAACTCCTGATCCTCTTTGGAAGACTCAGTTCATCATTAAGATAGCTGATTCATCACTTTGGACAGATTGCTTATGTATATGACAACTTTGTTTTGGTCCTATGAATGCTATTTAGTAGAAACCAATCTTGGAAGCTGACTCATTGTGGTATGTATTAATAGATGCCCAGGTATTAGGAAGAAAAATTCTAATATTTTCTCAAAGTCTATCATTTAGTGTCTGTTTCTTTTGTTGGGTACAGAGTGAGGACCTCCTGCCTCTCCTGGAAACAAAGGCGGGCTGAGCAATTGCCACACCTGGGGGAGGTGTGTGGGAGGACCTTGTGAATCTGCCAATCAGAACTTAGTGAGCCAGCTGTAAAAGAATGCAGAGGATTCCCTAGCCCATGGGCAAAGCAGCACAGGTACAGTAGGATTTGGAAGGAGACCTAGAACAATCTAAGGCTAATTATTATGTCATTAGCTTAAATCTACATTGCAGTTCACCCCCTGAAATGGGCTTTCAGAGAGGCTCATAGGAAATCTGCATGCGCAGTAAGACTCAGGTTATGTATCTCCCAAATGTCCATCAAAGTGGTTCAATTATGACGTTTGAACCACACGGAGGGCCCAGCCTAGACACCATAAAACAAGACCCCAGGCTATAACCAAGGCCCTTTTTGTTACCACAGGGAGTCCATTTGTTGTCTGAGGTGAACATATCTTGCTCTTGCTCAGTGAACCTATATCTTGCTCTTGCTCTGTAAATCTGTCTTGTCCTTCTTCAATAAACTTTGTTTCATGCTTGCCTTGCCTTTGGTGTATCTGGTTATTCTTTGGCCAAGAACACACCAAGAACTGAGAACATACTGTGACCCTACACTTTGATTTATAAAAATTAACAACTCCTCTGTTTTAAGGGTAAATAGCCCAGACCTCAGCTCATTGACCATATCTGTTTTTGTTTTTATTTATTTCTTACCTCTGTCTCTATCTCTGTCTGTCTGTCTGTCTGTCTCTCTCTCTCTCTCTCTCTCTCTCTCTCTCTCTCTCTCTCTCTCACACACACACACACACACACAAATATGTGATTATTTATCCTGGAAGCCAAAATGCTTTATGTAAAAGGAAAGGGAGATCAAATTAATCACAGGATTCCACAATGAGTGTTAGAAATAAATATCTGGGGGCATTTGGGAATTCATTTATCCAATAAATATTTCTTGTGCATCCAAAATTAGTTAGAACTTAAGAATTATCAGGTAGCATTTCCCATGGGAAGGGAAGAGGGAGGATAAAAATGGAAGACAAAGCCAGTAATCCAGAATTCTAGATTTTCAACCTTATTTTTAGGAAGCATGAGGACTCTGATTCTGAAGATAAGGGTGAAAAATACCTAGGTGACCCCAAAGGGCTTAGATTCTCTGCCTTAGCAGTGGACACTTCCAAGTCCAGACATACCCAACTGAGGTGGAGGACATGGCTTAATACTGAGGTACTGGCACTGGAGAAGTGAGAAAGATGACTTTGTCTTCAAAGGTACTAGGGTTGACCTAGTCATCCTTTGCTATTAAGGCCAAAAGCTAAGTAGATTTAAGTGGAAAACTCTGAGTTACTCAGGGTTAAAGGGCTCAGCTTATGGAGTTATTTTTGCTTATTTGTTTTTGTCGTTGTTGTTTTTGTTTCGTTTTTACCAAAGTAACTCCTGGCCTGAAGGGTTCTTTGTCTTTTGATCAGCCTTGCTGAGCCTTTACCTTCTAATTTCGAAGTTACTCAAGACTCAATCTTCTTGTGTTTCTTCCTTATTTGATATGTCTATCAATATAGCCTATCAAGTGGGGCTTGTAGAAACCTCACTATGCTGTAGAATTCAGGCGTCCTCAAACTATGGGCCACGGGCCACGTGCGGCCAGCCGAGGACATTTATCCAGCCTGCCGGGTGTTTTGCAGCTGCTGCCTGTCCTGCTTAGCAGCCGACTCGTCCAGGGCCCACAGTGCGCATGTGTGGAATGTGTGCCACACTCTCCAGCGGCCCTCCAACGGTCTGAGGGACAGTGAACTGGCCTCCTGTTTAAAAAGTTTGAGGACCCCTGCATATTGCCTCATGAGACAGAGTAAGCCAAGAAACCTCATACTCTGTGTCCCCTGGGAAAGCTTCTACCTGCCCGAGACAAGACTGGGTATGAAGACCAGTTGGTTCTGGCCATGTCATATTTTTTCATCCATCAAGTATTACTGACTGTGGGGGGACTGTCGGGCTTTAAGGTCAGTTAATTCTCCTCTTCACTTGACATCTGACCCCATAGCAGCCATGGAAGTGGTTTTTAGCAACACTTTTCTTCCTAAGAGACACAAGGCAGAGAGGAGATATGCGGGCATCTATCACCTTATTAAGGAATATTATAACTAGTCATAATCACTCTCACAAAATAAATGATTAAAACTAGGCCAGGACAGTAACTGTGTAGCACAGAGGCTTATCTTCTACCTGTGGCAGATATTGATGATCAACCACGGTCCTTTTTCTCTTGATTTCAGGTGTGGCCAGAAACCTACTCAATATGAACCTGATTCAACAACCATCATATGATGAGAATTGTCATCATATGAGGTAAAACTAATTTTCCATCTTTGCTTTAAGATGTTAGATTTATATAATAACATTGCTTCTCCCATACCTGCTAAGAGAAAATGTAGAACAATATTTCCCGTCCAATATTCTGAAATATATCTTGAAAGGTAATTGTCATACATGAATTGAACTAGTCTACTGATTAAGAAATAGGTTATATATATTATTTCTCTGCACTTTTTTTCACCTGTTTCACTAAAAGCAGCATCATGTTCTAATAAACATTAAGTTGCAACGCATCTTTCAGTAACACTGCTGAGTAGTATTTGACCAAGTCAGCTTATTCAAGATGGAAGTTGACTTGCTATTTAACAGGATTTTAGGTGCCAACAGGCAGGAAGAGAGTTTTCTTAAAGGAGCTGGTTATAGGGCTTTTCATTCTTAAGACTTTAATCACTGAAAGAGGATAGTGAACAGAATAACATTTAGTCAAAACAGCATTTGAAGTGAGAGCTCTATTTCTAGGCATACCTTTCTCATTCATAGCAGCTTTATCCAAAACATAGATTAGTTCATAGAGTCCTCCTAGAGACCCAGAGCTGCTGTAGTGTGTTCCATAGGTTTCCAAAAAGGCAAAATATTCTCCCTTTCCATAGGCAGCTGGCAAAGCTTTTATGTCATCCAAGAAAGTTGTTGTCAGTATAACATCTCGACTTCTCATTACAAATCTTCCCAGATGAATTACTCCTTTCACATGCAGAAAATGTTTTTCCTTTGTTATAAAGCAGATAAAGGAAAGAAATATGAGTTTTATCACTATTATTTCAAATTAAAATCACAAAATTTAGGATTTTCACAGGCACTAAAATGTTTAGCAGTAACTATGAGATATAATTTTAATCCATTGGAATGGCTAAACTTAAAATAATATGAATACAACTGTTGAGGAGGAGGTGCAATTATTGGTGAGGATTGTGCATTGCTGGTGGGAGTATGAAATTATATAGCTACATTTTAGAACTATTCAGCAGTTTCTCATGAAGTTAAACACACATCTACCCTATTACCAGGAATTCTATTTCTATATATTTAGCTAAGATCAATAAAAATATTGTCCACAAAAAATTTATACAAGAATTTCATAGCAGCATCAGTTAGAATAGCTTAAAATTGGAAACAACTCAAATGTCCATCAACAGGGAAATCAACAAACAACTGTGGTATATTCACACAATGGAATACTAGTTGGCAATAAAAAGGTAAAAACTACTGATACATGCAGCAACATAAATAACATAAATAAAATAAATAGCAAATAAATAACTGTCAAGAATATTATGCTGAGTGAAAGAAGTCAGATGCAAAGAAATATATACTATATAACTCCAGTATGATTTTATTCATATTAAGTTTTAGAGTAAGTAAAACTAAGCTATGGTCAGATAAATCTGGTAAGTGGTTACATCTAAGGTGACAGGGAATTGATTGCAAAGGGCATGAGGGATTTTTTTTTTTAGGGCAAGAAGCCTGAGTCTACTTTTATGATTAAATTTTCTTGGTATGATGTCCTTTAAGTCAATTTATTTCAAAGATCTCGCTTAGATCATTCCTATCCAAATAAGCTTTTGTTTATTCTATCTTAAAACAAGAAAAAAAATTATCCTGGCCTCATTTGCCCAACCAACTGCTACCCATTTCTTTGCCCTTGTTAGAAGCAAAATTTCTTGAAAGGGTTTTCTATGCTGGATAATTCCAATTCCTCTCTTCCTAGTTTCTCTTAAGTCTATTTCAGTCATGCTGTTGCCCTTGCTACTCCAACAAAACTTCTCTTGTCAAGGTTATCAGTGACCTTCAAAATCCTAAAGGCAGTGATCACTTCTTAGCCCTCATCTTCTTTGACATATTAGCACATTTGACAGTTCATCACTCTTTTCTCCTTGATAGAACTTTTATTGTCTTCTAGAGTAGTGGTTCTCAATGTATAAAATACAAGCAAATCACCTAGAAAATCCTGTGAAAATGCAATTCTGATTCAGTAGGACTGGGGCGGAGTCTGAGGTTCTAGCTTCCCAGTAATTTTGATGCTGCTGTTCTATAGACCACACTCCGAGTAGGAAGGCTCTTGGGCACTTCTAGTTGTGCTAGTTTCTCCTCTTTCCCCAGATGTCTTCTATTAAACTTCCCTGAATTTGGTCTTTGATCTTCTTTTATTTTCTGTCTACAGCAACTGTTGGTGGTGTCACAAAACCCCATGACTTCAAGTCAACAACTCTCAAATTTATGGCTCAAACCCAGATCTCTTTCCCAAACTCCAGCCTGATAACACCAACTTCCTACTTGGCAACTCCAGTTGAATACCTAATAGATATCTCAGACACAACCTAACCAAAACGTAGGTACTGCTCTTCCTCTCTAAACCTGCTCTACCTGAAATTTTCTCTAATCAGCATCTCCATCTTTCCAGTTGCCCAGGCCAAAAACCTTGCAGTCAGTTTGACTCTCCAACTGTCCTGTCTGAACTACTATCATCTCTCATCTGGATTCCTTCAATAGTTTTTAACAAGACTCCTTGTCTTTGCTCTTAGCACCCATAATCTCTTCTTGGCAGAGTACTTAGAGTGATCATTGAAAATATAATAGGATATGTCAATCCTCTGTGCAGAGTCCTCCAGTGTCCTCCATGTCACTCAGAAGAAAGCCATACTGTTACAGTGGGCTTTGAGGGCCTTCAAGGTCTGATTCAAGGTAATCTCTCTGATTTTTTTTCTCCTTCTGATTTCATTTGACCAATTTATCACATCAAGGTTTTCCTATATGAGAGACTTATCTCTAACAGTTCCTTCTGCCAGGTAAATCATCTCAAATCTAACTGTCTTATTAATACTGTCTCCTCTCCTTCCAATCTTTACTCAGATCTCATCTCAGTGAAGCCTACCCTGAGCTTCCTTTTTTTTTTTTTTTTTTTGGCCTAGTACAGTGAACTTTATTGATGGTACATGACAAGGTGGGGCTCCCTAGGCCCCTCCCATTCTTCAGGGGCTCTGGCATGGAAAGTGCATCGTGAGGAGGGGAGATTCTCAGTGAGGTGGGGACTGAGTAGGCAGGGACACCCCAGCAGCTGAGGCCTCTCTCTTCCTCGGTGCTCTGGCTGGGGCTGATGGTCCGGGACTTTTACTCCTTGGTGGCCATGTGGGCCATTAGTTCCACCACCCTGTTGCTGTAGCCAAATTCATTGTTGTACCAGGCAACGAGCTTTACAAAGTGGTCGTTGAGGGCGATGCCAGCCCCAGCATCAACAGTGGAAGAGTGGGTGTCACTGTTGAAGTCGGAGGAGACAACCTGGTGCTCAGTGTAGCCCAGGATGCCCTTGAGGGGGCCATCCGCTGCCTGCTTCACCACCTTCTTGATGTCATCATACTTGGCTGGCTTCTCCAGACGGCAGGTCAGGTCCACCACGGACACATTGGCAGTGGGCACGCGGAAGGCCATGCCAGTGAGCTTCCCATTCAGCTCGGGGATGACCTTGCCCACAGCCTTGGCCACGCCAGTGGACACAGGGATGATGTTCTGGAGATCCCCACGGCCATCATGCCACATCTTCCCAGAGGGGCCATCCGTGGTCTTCTGGGTGGCAGTGACAGCATGGACTGTGGTCATGAGTCCCTCCATGATGCCAAAGTTGTCATGGATGACCTTGGCCAGGGGGGCTAAGCAGTTGGTGGTGCAGGAGGCATTGCTGACGATGGTGAGGTTGTTTTGGTACTTGTCGTGGTTCACGCCCATCACAAACATGGGGGTGTCAGCAGAGGGGGCAGAGATGATGACCCTTTTGGCACCCTCATCTAGGTGAGCCCCAGCCTTCTCCTGGGTAGTGAAGATGCCAGTGGACTCCACGACGTAATCAGCGCCCGCTTCACCCCATTTGATTTTGGTGGGATCTCGCTCCTGGAAGATGGTTATGGGCTGGCCATTGATGACAAGCTTCCCGTTCTCTGCCTTGACCATGCCATGGAACTTGCCATGGGTGGAGTCATACTGGAACATGTAGACCATGTACTTGAGGTCAATGAAGGGGTCGTTGATGGCGACAATATCCACTTTGCCAGAGTTAAAAGCAGCCCTGGTGACCAGGCGCCCAATACGGCCAAAGCCGTTTATTCCGGCCTTCACTTTCACCATGGTGTCTGGGAGACGGTGCTGGTGCTGCCTGAGAAGATGCGGCTATCTGTCGAACAGGAGGACCAGAGAGCCCTGAGCTTCCTTTTTAATACTGCCACTTTCTAGGCATTCCTAGTTTCCTTTATGTTACCTTTTGTCCCATAGCATTTATTATGTAGTAATTTATTATATAGCATTTATAGCATTTTCTTATATAGCATTTATTATATAGTAATTTATTATATAGCATTATGTAGTATTTTAAAATACTATATAACTTCCATTTTTTGCTATTATATTTGTTGGTTTTGGTTGTCTCTTTCTGCTGTCTCATTCAGCTTCATGAGGACAAAAATTTTTTTCAGCTTGGTTCACAAAAATATTCTAAGCATCTAAGACAGTGCCTGGTCACATAGTAAGACCACAATTAAATATTTGTTGAATGATTTAACGTGTTTTCCACCTGTATACTGTGGGTGGATATGCATGTGAATACAGGGGAAAAGTACAGACCCATACAAAACAATTATACATTATGAATAATGTAAGTACCAAGAGTAAATTCTTATTTCAATGTGGGAGAAGGTTGTCCAAATAGGTGACTATGGTATTAGAAAAAGAAGAATGAAAATTTTACAAGAATCATACAGATTACAGAAAGTATATATTTTTTGTATTTATTCCAAAGGTGTTGAACAAACTTAAAAATCTGGCCTAAATATAAAAAAAAAAGGAACACATTTTCAAAATCTCAAATTAAAGATACGATTACAAAGTATTTAGACCAATTTTATGTGCAATGCATATAATTTCATGGCATTATTACTATAGAGACACATTTTGTACTAAGTAAACAGCCATCATTCTAAGGCTTTGCAATG